GCTAGCAACCCTATCCTTCAATATCAGTTTCTCTATCACATATATGCCCCACCCCCTTTTCCCTGCCTTCTATTAACTTTACTTAAGTAGAATTCTTATTTTTTAATAAAAATATGATAAGTGTATAATTTCTTCTTACATATACGTAAATTGTTTTTATTTTCATTTTTTAAATGATGTTTAAGCATATTTATTATATTTTTATTGAAAAATAGTATGAATCACACTTAAAGAATTGTAACTAAATTTTGTCCTTTTATTTATTTATCAATCAAACTTTTAATTATCAAAATCTTCATTCTCTAAAAAAAATCGAAACATTGAGAAAAAAATACTTTAAAACACAAATACTAATCACTAGTAGAGAGATTAATATTTAGTGATTATAAAATCTTTGATGAACAATTGTGCATTTTCAAAAAAATTAAATTGAATTTTAAAATTTTTTTAGTGAGAATTATTACCAGTTAGGGGTCGATCATAGCGACTCCAACCAACAGCTCTGAAAGAATTATAACCTTTTCAGAATTTTTTCAGCACAGGAGGACTCTCTGACTGATGATTACAAAGGATCTCAACTGCATGCACATCAACGATTCTCCACAGTTTATTCCTAACAAATAGCGAGTTTGTTATTCTTTTTCTACTAACAACTGCATGCCTAGAGAAGGCGCCAAATTTAGGTATAAAGTTTTCGAACCCAATTTCAATTTACTCTTCTTCCTCACTTATAGACTTGAGCGTTGGTGTGCTAACCTTCTAATTCAGCTCCCTCACCGCTACACCTAGAGCTTTGATTCGTTGTTACCACGCTCTTTACTCCATTATGTTATACCCTAAATTTTACTCTGAGTTTTCCATTTGCATCAACATAGCATGATCATTTCATTTAATCATGCATTCAATCAGTCAAAAATATTCATTATGGTTTAGGTAAAAAAGTCAGGAGCTCTGGAATTTTTATCTAAAATGGCATGCATTCATTCATCTGTGGATTAAAGAAACAAGAGTATTTTCTAACCTCAGTGCATCCTCCATTGCATCAAAGCCTCAGGGGTTCAAATGAATGACAATCAAGAGCATTGATTCCATTTGTTCTTCTGTAAGTTTTCAACTGTCATCTATGTGTGAGAAACAAATGTAAAGGGTCCAAGAGTTGACTTTTTGTATTTGGTTCTCTGTTCATATCTCTTATGTGCCATTTGTCATGCATCAATCTAAAAGTCAAATTTAGAGTTTGATTTAGTTGAATTTTAAGCATAAGTTCTATTTGTATTGTTTTTTAGGTCTTTCTAGTGGGAATATATGTGAATTCATGTGATTCTAATAGGTATTTTCATTTTGCATATGGTTAAAGGCTTTCAATTTCATCTGATACTCCATTGTATTTTTGTTGACTTGATTGTGCCATTAAATTAGTCCACCTTTATATTTTTTACTTAAGTCATATTTGCATTCTTTTTTTCTTTTAATTTTCATTTTTATAATTTGATTAATGTTGTTTCATTTGGTAATTAAAATGACACTTTTATTATTATTAAATGATATGGATCAAATTAAATAATTATCATACCCTAATTTTTTATCCATAAGATTTCACTCATCATATCATTGCTTCTTAGCGAATGATCACAAATATGGTACTCTTCTAACCTCCATCCTTTGATTCATCTTTGGGAGAGATCACCAAGCACCTTTGGTGTGCTTTATCTTGTACTTTTGATTTGTTTATCTTTCTATCATCATTAACCTTTATTCAAAATACAAAAATATGCTTTGTTTCCTTTCTTGTTTTGCAAGGTAGAGATTTGAATCAAATGGATCAAGTGTGTTTCCAATTTAGGATTTTGGAGGTTCAAGGTTAAAGTTTGGTCAACCATGGTCCTTAAGAGCCCCCACTTCAAAACATGACTTATAATCTAGGTCATGATCACCTCAAGATTCATTCAACATAATTTGGTCAAGAAAAGTTTAATTTTGGTGCTAATTTACAAGGATGGTTCAAGGTAGGTTCATGTGTTTATTTCCATGCATTCTTCATCATTTTTCTCAAGGTATTATTAAGATTAATCAAATGTCAATTAAGGATATTTAATTTTAAGTTCATATGATCATCATTTTACCTCAGAATAGAAGAAAATGTCAAAGATCTCAAGTTGGTACATTGTGGTTTGGCCTAAAAATTAAGTGTTGCATGCCTTTGGTCCAAACATCATAACTTCCTCAATTTTCACAATTTATGGGCATTTTTTTTGTTGTCGAATTTCAAGAATTATATCCTATAAAACTTTGCTTTAGAGGTCAAACATCAATTCAAGCTCTAAGTCCTTCAAATCTTGAAGGCCACTTATGCACAAAACATGGTCCATGACATGTTTGACCTAATGTCTGGCCTAAAATTTCAGGCCAAAACCTCAACTTCCCAAGCTTCTCATTTTCATCTCACTTATCCTTTTGCGTTGGTTCTTTTTGCATTGTCTTCCTTGCCATAAAAGGAACATTTGGCTCAAGAAAAATCACAAAATGGACGAGGAAATTTCATTTGGTCTTAGCTTGAGTATGGTGACCTGAAATTTGTTTTATACTGAGACCTATAATTAGTAAGCATGTGCAATATTCACTTGGGGCCACCAAATCACGTGCAAACTTCTTCCTAACAACAAAACACACCTCACCATGAATAAAAACGACCTAAAAAGTGCTCAAGTCACACATTTCATGCTCAATTTTCACACGATTTGGATATAGAAATTTTCACACTCGGTTCACACGAATTAAGAGCAATCTAACACGACCATGACCTCACTCATTCTAATATAAATAGAGGATCATTATGCACTAAAAGCCAAGCCTGAAAAGTAAAAGAAACATATGTTGTTCAGAAGCTTGAAACCTCCAAAAACCAGAAGATCGAAACCTCATTTTCTCTCCTTTTCAACTCCAATTCTTTGCCCAGAATCCATCACCAGCCTCCTCTGATGCTAACTGAAACATTACAGAAGCTTGTCGTGACCTCTAACCACACATTTGATCTCACCATTTTCAGACCTTAAATCTAACTTGGGAAAGATATATACAAGTTTCATTTTCACCAAAACTCGATATCAGTCTCTTCGTCTTGTTCCACTAAGCATTTCCTCCCATCTATCTGGAATTTATTCATTGTGTGTCATTTAATTTTACTTTGAAGTTCTTGGGGGTTTTGTGTTTTTTTGCAAATTCTCCTTGCTCAGATCAAATAAATTGATCTTGAGCAAGGAGACATGAACGATGAAGTATGATGAAGCTTACATGATGTATGTTTAAGCTTAAAATTACAGTTTATTGATCTTGCCAAAGCTAGGGTTCTGAGGTTGAAGACAAAGTTGCTTTGCGTGCTTTGGCTCCAATTTCAAATCCATCAAATCACCTCTTGACATGCAGCAAGCCGTTATTCTATTTTAATTTCTTTTTCTTTTATTTCAATTTTTATTTCATTTTCTTTTAAAAATCATTAAAAATAGCTCCATTACTATTTTGGACTCCAATTTTTCTATAATTTTTTCAAAATATTTTTTACCTTATGTGATTTTCTCAAAATTTTAAAATGATTTTTAGCATTTTTTGCTATTTTATTTTATTTTATTTTTTAATTGATTTAAAAAATTTATTTCTCCATCATTTTTAAACATTTTGGATCCAATCTTTTGAGATTTTGATCATTAGAGTTTTCTTAATCTTTCATAATTTTCTTGAGCATTTATTTGATGTTTGATGGTTCATTTTAATTTTCCTTTTATTTTCCATTTAAAATCATTTTAAAAATAATTTTCATGCATTTATTTGTTTATTTTTGTCATTTAATTTTGGTTTGACTTATTTTGAATTGGATCATGACTTGATTGATCAAATACTTCATCAATATCAATGGACTTTGGGTGGTACTTTGTTTGCATGAGTCTTTATCAATTCAAACTTATTATTAAATGATCATTTGGATCATTTTTGTACTTTGAGTTGATGATAGGTTTATCACATTGATGCACCAAGAGAGGTGATTGAAATTGCTGATAGATTGATTTCAAGTTCTGGTTCAATTTGGTTGCTCATCGTCATGTCTTTCTTCTTTGTTTTGACCAATTGGATGATCATGGATTCATCTTGTTCAATTGGTTTAGATTGATGCTGGATGAATTTTCATCATTTCAAATCTACCATCAAATGACCATTTGATCATTTGATCACTTGTGTTACTTTGAATTAATGATAAGTTTGTCTCAAGGTATCATGAAGAAATTAATTGAAGTAATGAATTAACCTACCTGCTTTTGTGCTTGATCACTTTGTTTTTGATTTTGACTTGTGTTGTATTGTTTTAGGAGGATGATCTAACATACATGACACATAAATTGCTATTGATCATCCTCTTATAGGTGCTACTTCTACATAAGTACACATACGATTGCTTAACATAACGCTAAATTATTCTGAATAGGTTGTATTGTTTTAGGAGGAGGGTCTAACATACACGACACATAAATTGCTATTGACCGGCCTCTTATAGGTGCTACTTCTACATAAGTGACTTACGATTGCTTAACATTACACTAAATTATCCCAATAGATTAATCTTACTAATAGTAACTCTAGCCATTAATTGTGCTAACTTTTACATTAATGCACTTTATTTTATATCATTTATATTTCAAGCATTTACGTTTCATGTCATTTTACATTTATGTCATTTATTTTATGTCATTTATTTTGTTCCTTTTTCTCTTTTCCTCTTGGGATTTTCTTTTTCTTTTTCATCAAAAGAAATTAATAAAGGAAAAACCCTAAAAAACTTGGCTCTTAATCTTGGACTATTAGTTACTATCCCTTGCTTAAGGAGAATGGACTTTTGGACTTAGGATAGATCCCTTGCTTGGAGGTTCATATGATACTTTGAGATTCATATGGACCATTCATATGAGACTCTAGATTTTGATCCGGTATTTTTATATTTCATCTGATGCAGTATGTTACCTAAGACCTTGAGAATTCATCTGAGACCTTGGGTTCTTTTATCTGATGCTTGGGAGTTCATCTCTGACCTTGAGATTTATCGGATGCCTTGGATTTCATCTGATGCTTTTGATTTTCATTTGGATCTTGTTTGCTTATCTTGTGGCTTAATCCAAAGGAAAGGGAATGCTCATTTTGACCAATGTCAGATGCTTGCTCCAACTTGTGGTTAGTTCACTTGCACATACAAAGGCTTCCTCTTGGGCTACCTTACAATGAGACCCGTTTATTTCATGTTATTTATCTTTATGCTTTAGTATAGTCATTTCATCACCTACCAACTTCTTCAATTTTCAAAACTTCTCTCTTTTTCAAAACTTTCTTGTTTTCAAACTTCAAACCTTTCATAGTAAACCTTGACTTTGTCAAGTGATCGTGAAATTTTTTTCCTCAATAAATGCTAAAACACTTAAGCATATTCAAACCCTTTCAAAAATCTATAAAAAAGACAAACATCATAAAACTTTCTTTTGTGCCCTTTTTGCACTTTTTTCCTTTTAAAACCTTTTTTGAGAGATTAAATATCAATATATTCTTGCAGTGATGTAGACCACTATACTTTCGCTAGATGATTGTGAAGTAATTCACATTTTCCAAGTAAATATTTTCATGTCAAGATGACGCAAATGCTCATTTTCTCATACTTGTGAGCAGTAAGTTGTGTTTTTCACTCGAATACGAAGAAATATCCTTTCAATTAAAATAAATCAACAAACCTTTGTGGAAATTTTTACCATGAACTATGAGACCTTTGACTTCTTCATTGCACACAAAAGATACTTCTTTTCTCATCATTTTAATTTATTTATGCAAACACCCGGTTTTAATCTAACATAGATTTTCAAGAGGTTCCTATAGAGTACCATAGATGTGAGGGGTGCTAATACCTTCCCCTTGCATAACCAACCCTCGTACCCTAATCTCTGCTTTTGTTTTACTTTTTCGCATTGGGTTTTCTTGATATTTTCTATTTCCTTTGGAAACAATAAAGTTCGATGGTGAATCTGATCATTTTGAGTTAAGTTAATCAATAGCCTAATCTCTAATTTTTCCGCCGCGACAGACTGACGACTCTGCTGGGGAGTAGTCCCTAAGAGGATTAAGCCTAACTTGTTTATATGTGTTATTATTGTTGTTGTTTGTTGTTTTGTAGTGATGTAGACCACTATACTTTCACTAGATGATTGTGAATTGATTCACATTTTCCAACTAAATATTTTCATGTCAAGATGACGCAAATGCTCACTTTCTAATGCTTGTGAGCAGTAAGTTGTGTTTTCCACTTGAATATAACGAAATATCCTTTCAATTAAAATCAATCAACAAACCTTCGTGGCAGTTTTTACCACGAACTATGAGATTTTGACTTCTTTATTGCACACAAAGGATACTTCTTTTGTCATCATTTTAATCTATTTTTGCAAACACCAAGTTTTAACCTAACACAGATTTCAAGAGGTTCCTATGGAGTACCATAAATATGAGGGGTGTTAATACCTTCCACTTGCATAACCAACCCTCATACTTGATCTCTCCTTTTGTTTTACTTTTTGTGTTAGATTTTCTTGATATTTTCCATTTCCTTTGGAAACAATAAAGTTTGGTGGTGAATCTGGTCATTTCGAGTTAAGTTAGTCAATAGCCTAATCTCCAATTTTTCTGCTGTGATAGACTCGCAACTCTACCGGGGAGTAATCCCTAAGAGGATTAAGCCTAACTTGTTTATCTGTGTTGTTATTGTTGTTGTTTGTTCTTTTATCTGTTTTGGGTGCTTGGTGATCTCTGTTTGGTGAGATAAGTCCCCTACCCAGACTTGAGTGCACTTAAGATTTAGGATGGTGATATAGTCATGTGGACCTACTTGGTGTTAAACCTTGTTAGAGAAGCATGAGAACCCCGCTCAGTGGAGGCCCATTTAAAGGTAATAATGTTTAACGAGTAGTTGTGAAGACCTCCGAGAAGATGAGGAACTTAGAACCTTTTTACCCATCTTGACCTTTTAGCATGTAGTGTGGTGACCATCCTAGTGTAGACCTGGATTGATTGATACATGATACTACACTCAGACAAGGTTCTCTTGAGAATATTATTGGTTTGTTTGTTGATGTTAAACCGGTAATATATGAAAGATGGATTATAGACTTTGAGAACTTCTTAGAACCTGGTTACTGTCGAAGACATTCAAAACTGTAGAACGTACCTTGTAGGATGGTCCTTACCATGTTCACCTAGCTCCATGTTCGTGACATTGAACCTTTGAACCCACCATGTTTGTGATTGTGGCATAATCATGCATTCATGGATCCATAAACTTTTTTTTCACCTGGTTTTCAAGGAACTTAGGGATTTCATTTACAAACATTGCAGATGATTTGAACATGAATTTTTGAAGGAGAAACACTCATCATTTCAGTTTCAAGAGTCCTGAGTTGAAAGAGTTTAAAAAGTTCGGATCTTTGGTAGCTAGTCTTTTTGATTGCAAAGACTAGTATGAGAGACTTCTTGATTTGTTGAGTACCGATATAGAAGACGGAGTTATGAACACTTTTGTCTAGTTCTATGATCCTTTACATAGGTGTTCCACTTTTCCTAATTATTAGCTTGTACCCACTTTGGAGGAGTATACTTATTACATCTATTTATATGTATCTGATCAGATGTTGTTCAGTAGTTTAAAGGAGATTCCTAAGTCTCATGTTATTGGGGAGGCTATACATTTGAGAAAATGGGAGATTGAAGCTAATATTGTGATTAAGGGAGGCATTATGGGTCTACCTTCTAAGTTCCTGATAGATAAGGCTTTTACTCTTGCTAGTTCGGGAAGCATGGTTGCTTTTGAGGTTGTTATTGGTTTGCTCATATATGGCATAGTTTTGTTCCCTAACATTGAAAACTTGTTGGATATCAACGCCATGTGTGTCTTTCTAATTCAGAATATAGTTCCTACTTTACTTGCTGATACTTATCATTCTATTCATTTTAGGACAAAGAATAAGGGATGGCTTATTCTATGTTTTGCACCTTTACTGTACAAGTGGTTTATTTCGCACTTGCCACAGTCCAGCTTATTCAAGTAGAATAAGAATAATTTGAGGTGGTCTCAGAGGCTCATGTCTCTCACAAATGTTGATTTGAATTGGTACAATAGACTTTATGATGGTGTGAATATCATTTATGGTTGTAGTGAATTCCCTAATGTACCTTTTCTTGGTACAAAAGGATGAATCAACTACAATCTGATCTTAACTCGACGTCAGCTTGGGTATGCTATGAAGGATAAACCAAATAAAATTTTGTTGGAAGGTTTCTTCTTCAAGGATGGTGTAGATAACAAGATGATGATAGAAAAGATAGTTCAAGCTTGGAGAAAGATTCATAGGAAAGGAAGAGATGAGCTAAAGAAGAAAGATTATGTTGGTTTGGAGTCTTACACTCAGTGGATGCAAGCAAGAGCTACTCAGATTAAAATGACTTATTCTCTTGAAGAACCTATGTTTCGCAAAGTCATAGTGCCTTTTTCTGATCTAGTTGAAGATTTGGAAGGACTCCAAGAAGTCTTGGTATGTATGAAGCAAGAGAGGGATGCTTGGGAGGGCATGTTTCATGTATTGAATATAGAAAAGCCAAAGTTGTAAAAGCATTTGAAAGAGAAAGAGGAACAACTTCGTCAGAAAGATGATTTTCTTGTGCAATATGGAAAAAAGAGGAAGAGGGAGCAAGGAGATTTATTTTCCTCCAAATTTCAAGTAGCACACCGTAATTTTTAAATTCACTGGGCGATACCAAAAATTTCAAGGCAATACCGGAAATTTCGTGAAATAGTAAGGAATTTATGGTGGATTTGTGTAATTTCCGGTATTTTGTACTAGAAATTTCAAAATATATGGTATATTCTAATCGGAAATTTTGAAATTTACGGGTTTAGTATTTACCTTTTGTCTCGAAAATTTTGGAATTTTCGGAGCTTTGCAACATTTACCAGAAATTAGAAAATTTCTGCCAGTTCAATTTTTTTTGAAAAATACCGAAATTTTTTAAATTTCTGGTAGTTCAAATTTTCCTAATTTTTCCCTCTTTTTATTCATTGTTTCAGTGAGGACCAGAGATAAAGATGGTATTGTTGCGAGTAGGGTGGCTGATAAAGCGGAAGCTTAGGCCCGGGCTGACGAGGCACATGCTTCCGGACTATGGGATAGATGACATCCTTCGATCGGTTCTCACTGGAAACTAATGGTTGAGCAGCAGGCGCAGTTCCACGCACCCCCCACCGAGGAGCTAGAGTTTCTACTACTGAGGAGGTACATGCTCCTGCTCCTGTGGATGTTCTTATGATTGAGCCGACTTTTGAGCAGACTATTGAGGAGGTTGTACCTATTGTGGAGCCGATTCCTAAGCATGTTATGGAGCCTATTTTTGAGTAGGTTGTGGAGCCGAAAGCTGAGCAGGTTATAGAGCATGTTCAGGAGGCTATTGCTGAGCGTGTTGACGAGGTATCCCCTACTGATACAGACACCAAGACTCGTGTGTCTAAGGAGCCATCAATTCACACTGATGGAGCCTTTTTAGAAGGACCTTCAGATAGGTCTGTGCTCATAGGATTTTCTAACCATGTCGCTTACAGGATATGGCATGGAGAGGTATATATTTTAATTGGTTTATGTATAGTATTTTATTTTTGCAAGTGTTTGAAATTTGATGTATAATATTTTATCTTTTCTTCTTACAGGAGCGCCTGGTGCTGAAGGTCGCTTCCCATGGTTCGAAGTTGAAGAACTTCCCAGAGGGTGACATGCTTGAGGAGTTCAGTAGTATTGTTAAATATTTTTCAGTTGTTGGAGTTTGCTCAGTGCTTCTTGACCATGCTAGACGCCTCCCTGTTGTCTGCTTTTGTTGAGAGGTGGCACTCAAGGACATCATCCTTTCATCTTTCATTTGGGGAGATGACGGTCACATTAGATGATGTCGACGCCATCTTTCATATCCCGATCACTGGTACATTCTTCACACCTCTTCATATTAACCATGTGACAGTGGTGCACATGGTTGTGGATGATTTAAAGGTATCTGATGCGAAGGTGCTAGAGGAGTTTGGCTTTAATCGGGGATTTCACCTTCGAATATCTTGACTTAGAGATAGGCACACATAGCATATAGAGGCTCATATGTACCATGTTACCGCTAGGGCGTGCATGCTACATCTGATAGCATGTACTCTCTTTGCGGACAAGTCTAGAGTTTACATTGATGTTTGTTACCTCTCTCTGTTCAGCACCCTTGACACTCCTTATTAGGCTTTGGGAGTGCGGTGTTGACTATGCTATACACGACACTTGGAGTTACTACTCAGCCTAAGACCAGACAACTTGCTGGTTACCTTAGCCTTTTACTGGTATATTATAATTTATTCGATGGTTTTTATTATTTATTTAGGTGTATTTATCTGATTGTTTTTATTTATGCAATGCTGGATATATGGGCACTTTCCCCACATCTGTGACCGGAAGATCCAACGTGTCACTACGCCAAAAATGATTTTTTGTATCACCTAATTTAATAGCACTTTAAAAAAAATGCTATTAAAATGGAAAAAACACATTTATAATAGCACTTTTTAATCGGGCGCTATTATATAATACAGACTATGTAATTTTGATAGCACTTTGTACCAGAACGCTATTATTAATCTTCTTTAAGATAGCATTTTGTATAAAACGCTATTATTTGACTACCTATATAATAGCATTTATTAAAAAGCGCTATGTTATATATAATAATGAATTAATTAATTAATTGATAAAAACAAAAAACAAAACACATTTTCAGAAAATTGGGTGTTGGTGCTATTTAAGAAAACTTTATGGGTGATTTTGACAGTTGCACGTCCAAACAACAAGACTGGAGACACCTCCTTGTCAATCGTCTCTGAGCTTTCCGATCTCCGCCGCTCTCAATCCGTGTCACTCCCGGTAAGTCATCCACCACCGTTCTCCGTTCTTTTCTCTTCTCTATAGCTTTGCCCCACTTGTATCAATCTCATTATCTCTTCTGGTTTGCCCGCAAAGTGTTTGATAAATGTTCTGACCATGGTTTTCTATCAACCTTAGAGAAAGAGGAATCATCAATAACACTATTCATTCTCCTCTAATAGTTTCCCTTTCAAATTGCTTATTTCTTTTAGGGAATAGTATTATGATAATTTGCTTACAAGCACCCAAAGAGTTCAACAAAGAGTGAAGGTTGGACCACAGTATGGTCCAAACCTGATAATATATGTCTTTATACTGTCAGTTCTGGTAGTGGTGTTTGTGGATACAATAGCTTCTGCACTTTGGGACAGGATAAGAGACCAACGTGTCAGTGTCCAAAAAGTTACTCTCTAGTTAATCCTGATGATCCATATGGTAGCTGCAAGCCAGATTTTATACAAGGATGTGAAGAAGATGAACTGAGTAAAAGAAAGGATCTCTATGACTTTGAGGTTTTGATTAACACTGATTGGCCTTTCTCAGATTCTGTGCTTCAAAGGCCTTTTACTGAAGAACTGTGTAAAGAAGCTTGTATGGGAGATTGCATGTGTTCTGTGGCTATTTTCAGGTTAGGTGATAGTTGTTGGATGAAGAAGTTACCACTCTCAAATGGGAAAGTTCATCCAACACTTAATGGTGCTAAGGCTTTCTTGAAAGTGAGAAAAGATAATACCTCCCTCCAGTCCTTTGATTTTCCTCCATTTCCAATCATTGCGAACAAGAATAATAATAGGGAAACGTTGGTTTTGGTTGTTTCTGTGCTTTTTGGTAGCTCTGCTATTCTCAATGCTGTATTGCTTGTAGCAATATGTTTCAGCACCTCCATGATTGTTCAGTACAAGAAGAAGCTTAGAAGAGTTAGCAGAAGTGAAACTAGTGTTGAAACCAATTTGCGTTGCTTCACTTACGAAGAGCTTGAAGAAGCTACTAATGGATTTGACAAAGAGCTAGGAAGGGGAGCTTTTGGTATAGTTTATGAAGGAGTCGTCAACAACAACACATGTTCCGAAACTCGTGTGGCTATGAAAAAGTTGAACAATTTTTTGTTGGATCAAGCTCATAGAGAATTCAGGAATGAACTAAATGTCATTGGTCTCACTCATCATAAGAACTTAGTTCGTTTACTTGGATTTTGTGAGGGTGGAAGTGAAAGATTGCTTGTTTATGAGTACATGAGCAATGGCACTTTGGCAAGTTTACTTTTCAATGCTGATGAGAAACAGAAACCAAGTTGGAAACTAAGGCTTGAACTTGCAATAGGAATAGCAAGGGGACTTGTGTATTTACATGAAGAGTGCATTACTAGGATCATCCACTGTGACATAAAGCCTCAAAATATACTTCTTGATGATTACTTCAATGCAAGAATTTCTGACTTTGGACTAGCCAAGTTGATGAACATGAATCAAAGCAAAACCAACACTGGCATTAGGGGAACAAAAGGGTATGTTGCACTTGAATGGTTTAAGAACATGCCTATCACAGCTCAAGTGGATGTGTATAGTTATGGAGTAGTGCTACTTGAGATTATTTCATGTAGAAGATGTGTTCAAGAAATGGAACAAGAAGATGAAGAGAAAGCAATATTAACTGACTGGGCTTATGATTGCTACAAGGATGGTGCTGTAGATGCATTGGTTGAGGGTGACAATGAGGCATTGGATGACAAAGAAAAGTTGGAGAAATTGGTAATGATTGCAATTTGGTGTGTTCAAGAGGATCCAGTTCTTAGACCAAGCATGAGAAATGTGATACATATGCTTGAAGGTACTGTTGAAGTGCAAGTTCCACCATACCCCTCACAAATTAGTATTCAATATTCTCTAATTTAATAACTTGGTTTGCAAGATTTGCAGATTGTGCTAATCCTTGTTTTATTGTTTTAATTGAAACTGTAAAATTTGAATTTATGTCTGTGTATCAAGCTGTGGTTTTTTGTTCCTTGAACATTAGTATTTGAGGTTCAAGATTGATTAGTTTACTGGGTATGAATAAACTTGATTACCCAGTTGTCTTGGATAATGTTAGTTTAATTATAAATTATCATATGTTTTCTACAAAATAAAATGCAACGTTAAATAGTTTACATATTATGATTAATCTAATTATATTTTACTAGATAGATTGCATTTCAAATCAATTTCCAGTTTGTGTGTTTGTACAATATTATGATTAATCTAATTATATTTTACTAGATAAAATGCATTTCAAAACAAACTTTTTGTACAAAATTATATTTGATTGGTTTAGAAGATATGGCACAGAAGATATTGTACTGTACTTATTAAAAATATTGTACCAAATATGTACCATTTATTAGCACTTTATTTGAAAGCGCTATCAAACATATGTTATATATTAGCGCTTTTTGTTTAGAGTGCTATAAAAAAACAAACAAAAAACATGCAAAATACTGACTTTGATAGCACTTTAATTAAAACGCTATTATAAATTGGTACTTTAATAGCGCTTTTAAAGTGCTATTAAATAAGAAATATTTACAATAGTGGCGCGGTTAATAGCACTTTTAAGCGCTATCAAAAACAAAAAAAAGCGCTATTAAATAGCTTATTTGGCGTAGTGTGTCTCGGCTATTGTACCATGTGTGAGGAGATGGAAGGCCAAGAAAGCCCTTCAAGAAGGTTTGATAGAATACCGGAAAAGACTTGACGCTCTGACCCTAAAGGATGTCATTTGGACACCATATACATCTCATCGGCCTCACCGTGCATTTGACGATGCTTCTTTGTATTCAAGGCATATTAGGTGGGAGAACCATGTGACTAGACACTTTCCTGAGAGGTGTCTACGGCAGTATGGTTTGATCTAGGGCATCCCTCATCCAGTTCCCGAGGCTCTAGCTGGTGGCATTGACATATGGTTTCAGAGTCACATCATCAGCTTTGCCCGTAAGGTCAGGGAGAGATCAGTTGTGGTTCAGAATCATTCACTGGGTGAGGATAGATACCTGGAGTGGTATCATAGTGTATCACACCCTCAGGTCATACCATCGGATGCAACATCTGATGTTTTGGGACCTTCACGTGCTAGGGTTTCTGCTGAGCTGCCACCACCACCTCCACCACCTGCAGGTGTTAAGGACAACCATCTACAGTTTATTGCAGCTCATTTAGATAACCTCATGGGTTTGGTAAACCATGATGGTGATATTTATACAGGTTTAGCTAGGTTAGCTGATGTAGTCCGTGGAGGTCTTATATAGATCTATTTTATTTTGGTTGTATTATGTGTTTATTTTGTGACACACAGACTTCTTATTCATTACATAATATTTTGGCGATTACATATTTTGAATCAACGATGAACATAACATAAAACAGTACAACAAACAAAAACTAGAAACAACTAAACATGAAAACCTAGATACTATCAGGTGATTATGAATGTTTCAACATCTTGATTATATCGTCGACGGATCTTCGGATCTCCGCATCCAACTCGATTGAATCTTTATTTATCCTACGGCGAAATATTTTCCACATGGCCTTCACATCTTCACCGGTTTTCATCTCAATCAGATTGTATTCACCCAACCATCTGTATCAATATAATGATCCCGAAACTCGATCTTTGTCACCCTTTTGTTATCAGAGTTAGACAACAATGCATTCAATGTTTCTTTCAAGGTAGTAAGAGATGTGCTGCTATCTGGAAGCCTGAATTCAACAACATGGTTGCTTCCGTTGTAATATACTTCTGCCTTAATCAGAATTTGAGGAATAAACATTTTTAGATGTTTTTCTCTATAGCATATGCCTCTATTTATTCAAATGGTGATGCATTCTAGACCACACAAATTTGTCGGTGCAATCAGCACCCTCCAAAGATGCCGACAAAATCTCGAACGTTAAAAAAATTTAAATAAATAAACTACCGGAAATTTTAGTATAACTCACATTTTCGATATTGTCTAGTACATTTGAAATTTTCAGAATACCGAAAATTTCAAATACACTACTAAAAATTTAAAAATTTAGATAAACCGAAAATTTTACAAAAGTGTACCGAAAATTTTACCTATACCAAAAATTTTAAAGCCTCTATCAAAAATTGTTTATATCTCAACAAAGATAATTTATAAATAATTAAAATTGAATGAGTGTCATATTTAATTTGAGAGTAATATGTCAAATCCTCGAACTTTAAGGGTTTGTTTGGCCCTATATCAATAGGTGGGCTTTAGGTGGTGCAGACTTTGAGAAATGACTACATTCTTAATATAAAATAAAAAATATTATTACTTCATTTACACATTTTAAAATATTCGATAAATATTCGCATTTCTGAACAACCTATCATGCAAATTCACAAGTAAATTTGGCTTTCTTTAAACTCTTATCCGTATACATATTTAGATATACTGTATATGGTGCATTAAAATGCGGTATAGAACCATTAAAAAAGTTGAATTTTTATATAATCAACTTGTGCATGCATCCAAACAATGTAGTATCAAGAAAACATCCCTAATCATTTATATCAAAACAATAAATAAAAAACAAAACAAAAAATCTAGGTCTCTTTAGAACCTAATAAGTCTCAACAACAAGAAACTTGAATCTTTGTTGTCAACTTTGATGTTTTTTGGTGCCTTAAATTCTCACCTTGTTTATCATCTAATATCAAATGCTTCCTAAACATAGCTATGAATGCTTCAACTCTTTCGTTCAATTCTTCTTTAGACAACACTTCCACTTGTTCATCCTCTTCTTCATCATCATTCTCATCAATCTCATTTTCAACATCAACATGATGAATGCTACTAGTACTAGAACTAGTACTATTCCAAGATTGTTTTCTGTAACACTCTTTATCTTCTTCAATTTCTTCAGAATATTCACATGCTCCTTTCTTCTCTTTGTCACCATTTTTAACTTCTTCATCGTTGCTTTCATTTTCTATATTTCTATTACTACAATACTTTGGCTTCATAGACATGTAAATAATGGATAATAAAATAACATTGAGAATGATAAACACGTAAGCACGCCATTTTTCAAGTAAGAAACTCTTTAGAGAAACCATTAGAAGAAAAGTACCTAATGTGAACATTATAGTTTGTATACTATCTTCATTGAACTCTTCGTTGGTTTCTCTCTCACATTCACTCTTCTTCATCTCCATTTTGAAGGATTAGAATTTCCTTATTGTTTGGTTAGTGTTTTGAGTTGTGAGGTATAGAATAGAACTAGAAAACTTGAGTTTAAATCAATGTGAGAAAGTGGTTTAATTTTCACGTGGAAACAAGAATGATAGTTTTGTTAGTGATATGGGGGACTTGATAACCACAATGAAAGGTTAAAGTAGTGATGATGAGAGAATATAACAAACCAAGATGTGAATGTGAGTGGTGTAAGGTGATCAAGAGACAAGTAAAGACATTACAAACAAGGAGTGTTTGGTCTTGGCGTGCAACACCAAATCAGATCAATAGTCATTAGCCTTAAAGGAGTGATAGGTTTGTAACATAGGCATCCCATAGTTACCATATTTCTAAATTAAATTAATAATAATTCACACTATCTTTGTGTTGGTTTGAGGGTGTTCGCAATTCAATTTGAGTTTGAGTCATAATTTTAATGTTAAAAGTCATTTAAATTGCAAGAGAAAAAAAAGTATGATTCAATTTGTTTTTGTCATTTAAAAATAAAATAAACCAAATCAAATCAATATAGTTTAAGTAGATTTGGTTGATTCGATTTTTAAATTTTTTTTATTGAATTATACATATACATATAGAGCATAACATAATTTTGTGTCATACATTATCATAAAATACATTTATAATTTAATACATAAATATGAATTGTGTCTTACAATTTTATCTTATATTTAAAAGATAATATACATAAAATTACATTCTTATATAAATTTTAAATACTATATTATGTAAACAGAAGCAAATGCATATATACGACTATGTTAGCCGATAACACTATAATTTTTTTTTCATCATTAATATTTTATATATAAAAGAATACAAAACTAATATAAATTAAACATTTAATTTTAATTTTATCCTTAGCAACGTCTAACAAATTAAAAATAAAAATAAATATATAGCAATTTTACTTTAAATATAAATAATAGTATTTATAATAAATAATATTTTGTTTTTTATATGTAAATTAAAATAAATATTATATAAAAAATATAATAAACTAAATACATGGTACTTGTTGATTTTTTAAGAATTTAAAATATATATAATGATATATAAAATTTTGTAATATAATACATTTCAGTTTAGTTTGATTCAGTTTGTGTCCTGTAAATCAAACTGAATTGTGCAACTCTGTTAGAAAATGATCTAAATATATAATTACAGGCCAAGAATTAGAATGAACCAAACAAAAATGTAATCTATTATGGATGAATCATCAAAATCATGTTACAATGACAAGGTGAGGCTCTTTTTTTATAGGAGAAGAGTGGGCCTCAATGATACAAAGGCACACACGTCCAATAACAAATAAGAGTCCAGCAAGATATAAAAAAAGAGCTAGAAAGGTAACTATAGTTAAACTTTCAATACTCATCTAAATCAAATATGATTTTTTACATTTTTCAATTTGCTTCAATTCAATTAACAATCTTCTATCAGATTGGTTCGATTTTAAGTATCCTTAGTTTTTGCTATTCAAATCTCGGTGTGTGTGCATATTTTTCAAAAACAATTAAGGGTTAAAGTTAAGAAAGAACAGTTTAGCAAAATCCTGGGGTTTGAAATCTTATTGTATCCATTTTGAGAAAATAAGAGATGTATTCTCAAAACATTAAAATATATTTAAATAAGTTAGATGAAATAAAA